TCTTCTCTCCTTTAGGCTAATTATGTACTGGAGAGCGATAATCTTCTTTTGACACAGCGGCCAGAATATGATGTGATTCTGTGTTTGAGCGTCACTAAATGGGTCCACCTGAACTGGGGAGACAGTGGCCTCAAGCGGCTCTTTAAGAGGGTCTACAGACATCTCCGTCATGGGGGCCTTTTCATCCTGGAGCCACAGCCCTGGGAGTCCTACGTGAGGAGAAAGAAGCTAACTGTAAGAACCTGAGATGACATGGTTGACGTTTGTATTGCTGGAAGACTGTCTGAATATAAATCGGTCATTTAAAAAACCTGGTTGATTGGCTGAAATATAACAAATGTTCCCTTTTTCCCCTTGCCTGACAGGATAATATTAGCAGGAATTATCACAGCATCCGTCTCAAACCTGACCTGTTTGTGTCATATCTTACAACTGAAGTGGGCTTCACCAGTTTTGAATACATCGGGCCCCCCAAGTGTTCAGTAAGAGGTAACTACACAATGATTTGTCACAGCAGATATATTCTCCAGATTGTATCCAGCATTGTAGTTTGCTGCCATGTTCATCTTTATTTATTTATCATCCTGACAGGTTTTCAGAGGCCAATCTATGTATTTCACAAATGACTGCGCCTGCCTTGAACATCATTGAATGTGAGTAGCCTAAACCACCATCATACATTCAAGCCAGCCATCTACACTGGACCACAAGGGACAATCTGAAACCTTGAAACCGTTACTCCGGCGTTTGATGCTGAAGATGAATAACAGAAAGGAAAATGGGACCAAAAGTGGAATGACATTTTTTTTAAGGATGCAGACTGTCAAAGAGAAAGGTGTTAAAGTCCTCTGTGACTAGAAATTATTAAAAGTGTGGAGTAAACTCGGATAGGACTCCATGGGTAACCTGGAACAAAACTCCTAGTTTGGCCTGAGTGTGGAAGAGGTGTTCATCTGCTCAGATTTCCATGGACTACTTCTAGTGGTATTGATGCCCCCAGTTTGATCCATGGCCATAACTTGGGTTGGAATATCTTGGGCCATATCTTTACTTTCAGGAAGTTATTCTGTGCCACCATATTTCTATATCTTTTACATATTAGGATTGGACGATGGGAAGTCTTATCCAACTGGTCGCAATCACCATTTTTAACAGGTGATAGATGTTATATTCATCAACTGTATGTTGCGTAAGCAAAGCTGCACTATAATGCATACAATGCCATTGAAGAGATGATATTAAATCTTTTGAAAAGTAAAGTGTTTTATGCTGTGCAAGACACTGCGCACAATACTTGTGAATGTAGCCCCCCCACTGTAACTACTGAAGACTTAGAAATCCTGCCTTACCTGTTAAATATATGTTTAAACCCTTGAATGCTCTTGCGGCAACCATATAGGCGCACATTTGTTTGTGATGATTAAAACAGTTACACACGGTCAGTCACTGAGACAGTTTAACACTAATGGCCTATGTGTTTGTCCCATCTTCCAAACCTAATGCGCACCTTGTTCTTTGCCTTTTTTTTTTTTTTTTTTTAAATTAGCTGAATTTTGCTGAATTAGCTTTCATACATGTTAAATAGTGCTCAAAATTTTTTCATATTTTGAATACAACATCAGAAAAAGCACCTACATCACACAAAGACCTTAACAAGTGGAAAGTGGGGTGTCTGAATAAATAGAAATATGAGGCACAGTGGGGAAAGGTTTGCTAAACGGCCAAAATAGCATCCAGTTAAATTTGAACTGAGATGGTGTGACATCCATGTTATTATTCAGCCCACAAGGACTATTTTAAGTAGATCTGTAGCAGGCAGCCATCTTTTTTTTCTTATATTTTTTCTTAAACAGTTAAGCCATAGCCATACCTTATCTGCTGTCTCCAGTGTCCTTCATGAGGTGCTGACTGATACAACTGAGCGTAAAATTGAGGCAAAGGCGATTTGAGGCCCTGTGGTGTCATCAGTCCTGTATAAATCAGAGACATTCTGTTTTGTGGGTCTGTTCTCATGCTCATCCAGTAGTCCCCTGAGCCCCGTGTTGATTTCTAGTTATTCTATATATGTAAGCATAAACAAAAAAAATACTGGAAAATGAATTGTTGCTTTAATATTGTTTTTATTTTGTGTTTTTTTTTTTTTGTTGTTGTTTTTTTAAAACCAAATTTCAGTATGACTATGCTTTTTGTTTTGACGAACTTCCATTTTTTTCTGTATTTTATTTTATTTAATTTTTTTCCTGTCATTCTGTTGGGGCAGATCACACCCTCACTGCTTTTAATCTTTGACCAATAGGGCCTGTTCAGTGTTTCCCAGAGATCTGGGTTCTGTTTGTGATGGTGTTGGGGATGGGTGTCGGGTGGCAGTGTTCAAAAGAAGCTACACACATTTTGTCAATGTGCTTCTCAGTAAATATTTTAACTGACTAAGCATCTCCGGACAAAGAAATTGCAGTGGATATCTGGAGAACAATGACTACTTTCCTCATCCCCACCTAGACAGTGTTGATGGAGCCTGAGAGGCTCAAGCAGCTGAATGATATCAAAGGACATTAAAACAGAGACTTGGCTATCAAGTCAGATGGAAGGGAAATACAAGAAGGCAGCGGCCAGCTAGTTTACTTGTAACTTGGCTTTTAAAATTAGACTGTTGACGATTAATTTAGACTATTAAAAGCTGGTGATCTCTTGAGTGGGTGGAAAAAATAAATAATTGCTAAAAAGAGTCCTCAAATATACTTCATTGACCTGCCCAAGTAATGACTAGGTGTGGGAAACACTGCAGGTACAGGTATTCCTTGTGTTTGCTTTTTTAATTGGTTTCCACTGAGCACCACCCATCTGCAACCTTTCGTTGGAAGAGGCTGGCACAGAAAATCTTCCTTTCATGTGGCTGGTTCCGTTACGGGTGCGATAGGGCAGGCGATGATGGACGATATGTTTCTGTTTTAAGTGATCAATGTAAATAAGTTTGCAGATTTTGTTCATAATGGCCTGAGTCGTTTATACAGTGTTTTATGGTTTTCTTTTGTTCTTTTATAATGTTTGCTGCCAATTTACAAGTGAGTCACAGTTCTCTTTTTTTTTTTTTTTTTTTTTTTTTTTGTCTTTTGTCTGGGGAAAAAAAAAAAGACCGGTAGCTTTGTATTTACAAAAAAGTATGTACGTTGCAAAGTTCAAATTTTTATTTTGCATTGTTCTGCCCTGGCAGGCACATTTATTGTTAGGCAAGTTGTTTGTTTTTTCATTTCTTTTTTCTTTTTTTATAAATTGTTTGAAAAGATTGTTTGTGTCGGTGCACTCTCTCATTTCACTTCATTTGCCATGTTGTAGACATTTAAGGTTCTTCATAATAGAAAGTTTACTATTTTTCTTTCTCCCAACAAATTCTCCAGAAAAAGTTGTCAAAGTATAAATTGAGCAAGCAGAATACATTGTGAATTTCTGCACAATTTAGCCTCAAGCTCAGTTGCCGTATCAGACAGAACACCAGATCACACCTTTCTCCTGTGCTAAGACAATCGGACTTTCAGGCCCACTGCTGTACTTTCAAGGGCATTTTGCTTTATGCATTATCAACAGCTGTTTTCCTTCTGGCAATCAGCATTTTAGTAGAAAAACAAATTGTTATACGCCTAGGTTGTGCTTTGCCACCTATGTTTTAATATTGCACCTTACCGTCTTAGCAGTGGTGTCTTACAGATTTTAACCCAGTATGCCTGACTTGTACGTCCAGGTATCCAAGTGAAAGCATGTCTTTGCTGGAAGTATGAAGTTACATGTTGTCATATACAGTGCTGTATAAAATTTCAGAATCCCCTTGAGGTTTTGCACAATTTGTATTAATTCTTTCTTCTGGTTGGTTAATGACATTAAATCATACCAAAAATCCGGAATAAGAGAAGTTCAGTTTTACTAGCTTAAAACTTATAGTGCTCAGATCTCTTATTCAGGTTATAGTAGTAAACAAAGACTGCCTTTTACTTTGTTCTAGTGGGCAAAAATCCTCTTAATTGGAATACTTTATTAAATCTTCACTGTATTAGAGCAAAGAAAACCAGAATAGTTTAATAATAAATGTAATAGGATCTTTAAAAAGTAAAAACAAGTGAAACTGTGAATTAAAAAGTCATTTTTTTAAATGCACATTTAACCCAATGAGTGACATATGTGTGGACTTGACATGTGTTCTTGGTTTTGTGAGATGCATTATTACAGATGATCTATTAATCGTCCTCTGCAAAACCCACTTGTGGATGCAACAAACACTATGCTTACACTGTCTTTTGCTGTAACTGCAGTACAATTGTGGTGCTAATTAATGTCTACATCATATGTATCTGAGCATTGTAAGATTTGAGCAATTCATTAATTTAAATTGGCAACAAATTTAAAAAGAAATCTCTGACCCAGCTGTAAGTTATTGCTTTTAATTTATTAGGAGTTACAGCGTGTAATTAAAAACTAAATACACCAGGTTAGATTCTAGGTAAAAGTTGATATATAGCCAAAGCATAATTTTTGACTGCGACATTGTATTACCTCAAGGGGTATGAATTTTTTTATGGCACTAAAATTCACCTAAATGTTGAATTTGCACTGATATGAAACATGGTAATGAAAGTAGTTTAGTACATTTTTTTTTGCAGTTGGTGTTTTACATGTACCTTAACCTTCATAGAATCGGTTTTCTGGAAAAACTGATCAGTATAACCCCCTCTGTCAGGGAATGTTTTACATTTCATGCCTCTGAACAACAAGCTATATCTGAATGTTTCTGTGTTTAACATTTTAACGGATTAAACTTTGTTCCAGATTTGTTGGTTCAGTATTTGCTTATGAGGTATTAAAGATGGAGAGTGGGTTTTTTTTCCACATCTGTTTACTTTTTTACAAAGGTTTCTTTGATTAAACATCAAAACTTTCACACTGGTTGTGGTCTACCCATAAGGTTTCTTACACTGAAACAGCCTTCACAGCCTTTCTAAAGGCTTAGTGGCATTGAAGAAAGTAACATGTTAAAGGGAAGTTGTGCACTTTCTACCAGATCAAAGTTATTAGATTCACTAGTTATACTACTTATTTATTTAAGTTATTTAACTGTATGTTGGAGCTATATAACCACAAGAATAATAGTATCATGATAGCTGTGATATCAAATACATTCCCAAACAATCAACTAATATTCACTATGGTATTTCAGTAGCTGGAGAAGTAAATAACAGTCATAAACACAAACAGTCAAAGCTTTTACTGTTTCCAATAAGACCAAAAAGGGGAAAAAGAAGAAGAGTGAAACTCAAACCCAGGAGCTACTAATCAGATGCACTTGATTAATTGATCATCAGGAAGTGTGAGCACCTCTATAATAACACACGTTATTGGTTTGCTGGCCTTGACCTTTAAGGTGTGTGTGTGTGTGTGTTAACACACCGCTGTTGTTTGCTGTGAAAATCCCAGCAAATTCAGCCTAAGGTCAGACTGTAAATACTCAGAGAAAACTGCAAAAAATCCAAGAGCTACATCTAGGACTCTACAGGCCTCAGTTAACATGTTAAACTAGGAATAGAATAACTTCATTATTCACATTCATTGAAAATTGCCTTTGGTCCACCAAGCCATAAACAAATCAATCAAATCACTTCACGTCAGCACACATTCATACATACCCACACACAAAACTTTGATACAACAAGAATAAAAACACCTTTGACCACTTTTTTTGTTAGCTAGAGGAATTCTTGCTGTTGTCCCGAGGGCATTAATTCAAAGTCAGAATCAAGAGGGTGTTCAGGGTCAGCAACAATAGACCAGGCTTTCATCAAAACAGCCTGATGATACAGCTTATCCAATTAAATTTGTTGTCGACCAGTAAGTTTTAGAGATGGACCGATCCGATATTACATATCGGTATCGGTCCGATACTGGCCTAAATTACTGGATTGGATATCGGAGAGAAATAAAAAATGTAATCCGATCCATTAAATACCACGAAAGCACCTCA